TCCGATATTATGTTTGTCATGTAAGCTCCAAAATTCTACAGTACTAATTAATACAATATCCTACTCTCCTATTTGTATTAATGACCAAGCCCAGTGTAATTAGCCTTGACTTTTCCCCTGCATCCACCTTTAACCACCAAGGCACACTTTTTTTTTTTCCCCTCCCAGTGCCTCTTCCTCGTGGTCTAGCTTTGCCACCATCTGAGCAAGCTCTCATTACTTCTTATCTGCGCATCTCCAATAGGCTCCTTACCACTCCTGCTCTCCAGTGAGCGCCTTCTCCAGGTCCATACAGCTGCCAGATTAACATTCTTGAAACCCAGCTCTGACCAGCCCTCTGCTTCTCGCCAGCCTGTGTAGGAAGTCACGCTCTTCCAACATCCAAGGCCATCCACTTGGCTGCCCCAACCCACCATTTCATCCTAAGGTGCTGTTCTCCTACAGAACACCTGCCACGTCCGTAAGGAATATTCAGAGTGCGTTGTAGAGCCACCGGCATTCTATGCCTTAGCACTTTTTTCAGTCCTAGCACCTCTAAGTACTTACAAACATAATCCTCCTTTTTAGAACAGCACTGAATCATTCTTGTAAATGGTAGAAGCATGATTAGAATTCAAGCTCCTTGAGGGGCGCCTGGGTGGCTCAGTCAGTTAAGCATCTGACTTTGGATCAGGTCATGATCTCACGTTCATGGGTTCAAGCCCCGCATCAGGCCCCATGCTGACAGCTCAGAGCCTGGAGTCTGCTTAGGATTCTGTGACTCCCTCTCTCTACGCTTCCCCCACTCATGCTCTGTTTCTTTCTGTCTCAATAATAAATAAAACATAAAAAAATATTTTTTAAAGAATTTAAGCTCCTTGAGGGCACATGCTATTTTTATTCACCTTCCACTACACCTCAATAAATATGTGTTATTATGAAAGAATATGAGGAAATGCATTTGTAAGATTTCAGCCACTAAAGGGTGTTAGCCAGAGAGGAGAGCATCTTTGGTAGGCATGGCACTGTACTGAGATAGGAGAGCTAAAGGAATCGTGACATGGGCACAAAGGACTACTGTGCCAGGTAACGGAGGCAGGAAAGACCAGGTGAAGCACTGAGGCACTAATACAAACACGCTACGAGTTGTAATCGACATTGACTGACCATGAAAGACAGGAGACGGAATAGTAACTGGAGAAGAATATAGCGTCACAAAAGTTTATTTACATATATAATATATACATATATACTTACATATGTAAATAAACTATATATAATATACAATTCACACGTATATCAATGTGCATTTATTAATAACAATTTCATATGTCCATTACTTAGATTCCTAATCAACACATACAAGCCCTGATTCCTAACAGAACACATGCAGGATAAAGCACATAATAGTAACTGTCAAAACTTTTTTGAAGTTGTGGTAAATTACACATAAAGCTTATGATAGGTTAACCACTTTTTAAATTCATTTTTTAATGTTTATTTTTGAAAGAGAGACAGTATGAGCAGGGGAGGGGCAGAGAGAGGGAGATACATAATCTGAAGCAGGCTCCAGGCTCTCAGCTGTCAGCACAGAGCCCAATGAGGGGCTTGAACCCACGCACCGTAAGATCATGACCTGAGCTGAAGTCGATCGCTTAACTGACTGAGCCACCCAAGCACCCCAATATTAACCACCTTTAAATGTACAGTTCAGAAGTGTCAAGTACATTCACAGCACTGTGCATCTCCAGAACTCTCCACTGGCACAACTAGGGCCCCCACCTGCTGAACAACAGCTCCCCAACCTACCCCTCCTCCAGCCCCTGGCAACCGCCATTCTACTTTGTTTCTTCTGGATCTGACTACTCATGGTTTCTCGGCCTTTTGACTAAGATCAAGTGTGGATCTGACTACTCACAATGCACATAAGTGGATCATACGGTATCTGTTCCTCTGTATCTGGCTTCTTTCACTTAGCACAATGTTCTCGAGGTTCTTCTGTGTTGTCTCATGTGTCAAAAGTTCCTTCCTTTTTAAGGTTGAATAATATTCCATTGTGTTTATGCACCACATTTTGTTCATCAAGACAGGGTTTAAAATTTAATTTGTTTGTTTGTTTGTTTTATTTTTGAGACAGAGAGGGACAGAGCACAAGTAGGGGAAGGGCAGAGAGAGAGGGAGACACAGAATCTGAAGCAAGCTCCAGGCTCTGGGCTGGCTGTAAGCACAGAGCCCAACGCGGGGCTCGAACCCAGAGCCCAACGCGGGGCTCGAACCCAGAGCCCAACGCGGGGCTCGAACCCAGAGCCCAACGCGGGGCTCGAACCCAGAGCCCAACGCGGGGCTCGAACCCACTAACCCATGAGATCATGACCTGAGCTGAAGTCAGATGCATAATTGACTGAGCTGTCCAGGTGCCCCAATCAAGAAAGGGTTTGAAACACAGATGCCTGAAAACATTTACACAGGGGCGCCTGGGTGGCTCAGTTAGTTAAGCGTCCGACTTCGGCTCAGGTCAGGATATCACAGTTTGTGTGTTCCAGCCCCACACTGGGCTCTGTGCTGACAGCCAGCTCAGAGCCTGGAGCCGGTTTCAGATTCTGTGTCTCCCTCTCTCTCTCACCCTCCCTTGCTCCTGCTGTCTCTCTCTCAGAAATAAAAAACATTTAAAAAAAATTTTTTAAAGAATATTTCCTTAAAAAAAAAAAGAAAAGAAAACATTTACACATCCGTGGAAATAACCAAGGTTAGAGCAAGTAGTTGAATACCGAAGAAACACAGGCATTGGCAATTAGGTCACTGGTAATGTTTAGAAAGCGATTCTATGACCATCAGTATTGTGATGAGCCATCTAACCCTCAGTCTGTCCGGAAACATCTGTCCTATTTCAATCCACCTACACATACACTTGCTCAGTGTGCTTATGTTTCTTATATTGTACTGTGGTGACTGTATATTAGCACATTGTTTTTGCTATATGATTTGAGAATATCTTGTGCAGCCAGATATTTAATCAAAAAACATTTAGAGTACTTTAACAATACAACTTAAATAGTACACATTCTAACAATTGAAAGGAAAATACTCAAAGTAGCATGCTTAACGAACTGTATTTATGTACAGTAAAATGTAACCTGGAGGTAATACACTTTGCATTTCTTAAACCTAATATGTGTGTGTGGAGGGTGTGGGTGTGGGTGTATAGATACATAGATAGATAGATGAAAACAAGATGGCCTACCCAATAAATGAAAGTATATCCAAAAGTTAATGTGGTCACTATGGTGAGTATACACATTATATACAGGAAATTCTGAAGCAGGACAGCAGTGAATGTTAGAGTAACAATTTGAACAAGACTTCAAGTTAATACAGAATTAAGAAGAAAATCAGTTGAATGGTTTAAACAACAACAACAACAACAAACATTCTCAACATTTTGGTCAATCAAGGTTTGACTGAATTTCATGCTGTCTCAACTTTATACTGCCCCCAAAGAAATGTATTTAGCATCTTCGCATAAGTCATTCAGCAAAACCAACACAGAAACCTATCAGAAAATCACTGCTATCTTTTACTTTCATTAGGGCTCTTACAAACAGAAAGCTTCCACTGATACAAAGCGATGAATAGCAGCATGGAAATTCATAAACCTGAAATAACACTTGCTATTATCCAGGTGGAAAGTGAACACACAATTGAAAATGAATATGACAGCTCTCTCGGGAGCACAGAATGAACCCCATTACTCATTTTCACCTACAGCTGAAATGTTCCTTCTCAACCCAGAAATGCTGAAACGACCTATCAGACACACCCCCAAATGGCAAACGTCAGGATTCACACAGGCAATCAGTCAGGTGCCACAGCGACTTTGCTTAGGAAAACGGATTTCATACACTTACACCAATCCATTTCTCTAGAATTTCTACACACGCCTCACACACTAATTCCTGTGAGAGCACTGGTTGCTAGAGCATGATTAAAAGGCTGTGTTGCCTTTTGGTTGGATATCCTTTGGATGCATCCAACTTCATGTGACAACCATTTGTCAGTGCGACCTCGGATCATTAGGAACATGGTAGCCAATGCAAAGGGTTTCTCTGAAGCAAAGACACAAGGCGTGATGAGCTTAAATCATGGCAAGAGAGCTGGCAGACAAGCAAGCAAGTAGCAAAAGTCTTCACTAGAGGTCTAGAAAAGCACATGAGCCTCTACTGGCTATGTGAGCAGTCCTATCAAAACGAGGACAAAATGGGTGAAGCAAAGAATCTCACTGTAAGGCGGAAGTTTGCCAACACTTTCCTCTGAACAAGCAAGCATTGACTCGGTGAGCACAATATCAAGTACCACAGGGAAAAACAGTCTCTCAGCAGCTTAATTGTTGGGCATGGCAGGCACAGAACTGCACCTGACCAACCAAAGAACATCTACCCGGACATCCTGATTCTAAGAATTAAACATTTCTTTGCATGTCAGTTTTCTTTTTCTTTAGTTATGTTTTATTTATTTCTGAGAGAGAGAGAGAGAGACAGCATGAGCAGGGGAGGGTCACAGAGAAAGGGAGATACAGAATCTGAAACAGGCTCCAGGCTCTGACCCCAACGCGGGGCTCGAACCCACAAACCGTGAGATCATGACTGGAGCCAAAGTCAGACACTTAACCAACTGAGCCACCCAGGCGCCCCCATGTCAGTTTTCTTTAATCAGTCACCACAGCCTAAAAGAGTTGGCCCATATTCCTCATGACGAACAGCTCTATCTTCTGTGCAGAGGCTTCTCAGCCCCACGCCCCCAGCGCACACGGTGGTGGCGAGCCCTTTCGGGTCACATCTATGTCCAGTAGGAAAGTGTTTTTGCACATGTGTGAGGACACACAGCGTTCTAACACAATGGCTGGGGAACACATTCTAGAACTTTAGCAGAAGAAAAGTTTTTAAAATTCCAAATATTGACAATGATTCCTTGGGGAAAGGGGAGGGGAGGGGAGGGAAAGAGAGAGAAAGGGAAAGAAAATAAAAGAAAGGAAAGAAAGAGCCCTCGAGAAAGGTAGAAAGGCATTCCAGGAAGAGTAGCATGATCTTATCAAAGTACCTATCAAATCTAGCTCAACAACGCGAAGGCAGTCACCATTAGGCCTGCTATGACGTACATTCTGGCCCGACGGACACAGCAGTACTCGGTCCAGTCCAAGTCCCGGCTCTGCTGACAGCCAGGTGAGCACACACAACTCCCGTCAACTCCCCGAGCCTCCATGGCTTCTTCAGTAGAAACGAGGACCTACTATGGGCTGCATTTTTTCACAGCACTTGGAGGAGGATGAAGTGACATGATGAAAGCATCCTGGGAAGGCTGATCACAATCCAGGAAGCTGACGTCAGTCTATTAGCGTGCCCCTGGGCACGGCTACAGTGGGCGGCAGAACTTCTAGGCAAAGTAAAAGGCTCTTCTGACCACTTTGAAGATTTTTGCCTCTTTATTGTACTTTGCTAACTTTTTAAAATTTTTTAACATTTATTTTTGAGAGACAGAGACAGAGCGTGAGTAGGGGAGGGGCAGAGAGAGAGGGAGACACAGAATCCCAAGCAGGCTCCAAGCTCTGAGCTGTCAGCACAGAGCCCAACGTGGGACTCAAACTCACGGACTGTGAGATCATGACCTGAGGCAAGGTCGGACACCTAGCCAACTGAGCCACCTAGGCGCCTCTGTGCTTTGTTAACTTCTGCTTAACAGTCCATTACACCAGTCCAAACGCTGGGCTGCTGGTAGCCTGTTAGCCCTGTGTGGAGCACACATGCCACATGCTCCCTGTGCTGTGTTCTCTAGCCTGTCCGTCACTTTCCCAAGCATTCAGTCCAAACACCCGTCATGTGTGTGCCCCAGGTAACATGTGTCATAAATGCATACATGTCACAAATGCATGCATTATGTGCCATAAACGCACATTCACAAAGCAGACGCTAGAAGGAATTTTGTGGAAAAGATAAAAAAAAAATATTTAACCATCAAGCATCCTTCATGTGTGTCTGTGGCTGTCTACCAATCTTTGGCCTTAAATTTGCCACAGCAAAACAGAGCCCAACTTGGGGCTTGAACTCATAACCCTGAGATCAAGACCGGAGCTGAAATCAAGAATCGGATGTTCAACCAACTGAATACCAACCACCCACACATGCAACTCTTAAGAATGTGTATACATATCTCCTGAAATGAGAAAAATCTTATTCCCCTAGTAGCCCACTGGACCTTACTGAGCCAGCTAGCAAACAGAATTTTGAGGGCTTAAAAGTGGAAGAGGACCGAGCCTCAGGTACCAAATCATCACACGCTAAGGCAGGGAGAGAGAGCCCATCAGCCTTCACTCTGTCCAGCAAGTCTCTGCCCCCTCCCAATTCCAGCCATCAGGGAAGATGCACCACTCAGGAAATGGAACCTTTTCAAATGTGCATTTGGGACAGAATGGGGAGGGTTGTGTGTGAAGAGGTTCGAGAGGACATGACCAATGCAGAAGTTAAACTGAATGTACTCATCTCACGTCTCCAGTCCTGGGTTTCACAGATGAACATGAACACTGACCCACAAAAAGTTGCAGGTCTGTCTTGAGGAAACATATACAAGCCCAGTAATCCATCTTTCCAGGTGACTCTCTCTCCTGCCCTCTGTCAAGTACACCCATACACAGATTCCCCGCTAAAGCACTTAATTATGAAGAGCTGTAAGTGTTCCAGCCAGGAATGCCAACTATCCGGTTTGCTAGTGCTTCATAAACACGCCACTGGGCATATCCTGGTCACCACCACTGAAGTTCTCTGAAAGGAAGTTGCGTATATAAAATACAGGCTCTTAAAAAAAAAAAAAAAATACAGGCTCTTGTTTTCATAGCACAAAGAAGAAAGGAAAAAGACATCATCTGACATAGCTTTATTAGGAGTGCTTAACAGGCTCCTAAATGTTCACTGAATGATGCATTAAACAGTAAAGAATATTAGCTTACAAGAGATTTTGCGTCTATGCCCTGCAAGAAAATCTAGATTTCAAAGCATGAGCACAGAAATGAAAAAATTCTGACATCACACATAAACTGGGCACAGACCTCATATCCTATTAAGGAGAGTATCCAGGGGCACCTGGGTGGCTCAGTCAATTGAACGTCTGACTTTGGCTCAGGTCATGATCTCACAGTTCGGTTCACGGGTTCTGGCCCTGTATCGGGCTCTCCACTGGTGGTGTGGAGCCTGCTTGGAATTCTCTCTCTGCCCACCCCCCCTCCCCACTTGCACTGTCTCTCAAAATAAATAAATAAACTAAAAAAAAAAAAAAGAAGAAGAAAGGTGAGTATTTTAACTTAAGTCACAATCCCTCTGTCTTATAGTTTAAAGGTCTCCAAATTGTCGTTTTCAATCACTCTTTTGTTCCTCACCATTTAATAATATGTAATTCCAGGTAACTTTCTTAATCAAGTATAATAAAAGTATTTTTAAAGGCCCAGATTATAAGAATGCAATACATTCTATTAATATTACCTAAATAACCAATGTTTTGTAAATAACCCTGCATTTCCTTTGGGATAACTGATGTATGTTACCAAAGGCTTATCCCACAACAGAATCCAAATGTGCTAAGAATGGAATCTATTAGCCCAATGGGAATTTAACACTTAGTCCTATTTGCAAAATCACTTCTCAATGCCTCCATTTATTCCAAACTATATACAGGATTAAAACAAAAATACACAACCCACAACCCGACTCATCCCAACGAAAAGGGGGAGGTGGGTGGGGGGACGGAGGTGCTCTTTTGTGAAAAGCAAAGAAAGATCAGGGTTTCTAGGTTAGAATGTACTGAAGAGCAGAATGGTAAAAGCAGTGAAGAGCTCAGTAATGTGCCGGCATCGGGGATGGGCAGATAGGGTTGACTACAAAGTCACAAGCTGGGGCTTTTGGGGAGTGATGGCACTGTTCTACATCCTGATTGTAGAAGCGATTATATAAATGTTGCAACTGTCAGAATTCCTAGAGTGATACACCTAGAGGCTGTATTTTGCTGTATGTAAATTACACTGCCAAGAGCCTGACTTTTCTTAAAAGGCTATCATGTCTAATTCCATGTGCCCGGCGCTAAATTATGAAGTCTAACACTCAAGTATACAGTTCTGAAGTGTTCCAGATGTAATTACTAAAACCTTACCAGTAAATGATTGAAGTTCAGCCTTCAGTATTTTATATCATCATTTTTTATAGGTATTATATAAAATGACTCAAACACAAAATAGAATTATCACAAGATGTATTTTGCATCATTACCTGGACGTGTAGAAAACTGCAGTGCCTTAAAAATGGACAGAACTATTACGTGTTAATTTTTAAGGGTTGCATTTACTAAATTTTACCTTTTTCATATTATAAATTGAGGAATAGTAAAGGTTATTAGATTTATTCGAGTCCCTCAGAACCACTATGAAATGTGTTTTTAATTGATTTCAGAAATAAGTGTTACAGGAGACTGGTTACTTTTGAAGTGAGAATGTTTCAGTAATTCAACTGAAAAAAAAAAATCCTTGGATGTAATACGGATCCTAAGATTGTGCTTTAACACCTATTGATGAACAGGCCCTTACATTTCCCCTCTTCTTGAAAATATGCAGAAATATAGATTTTTTTCTGCAGAAAAAATAAAAGTCAAAGAAAGAATAAGTGTCAGATTCCCAGCACAGGTACTTGTGACAAGAGAGCACAAACCTTAATTTTCACATGTTCACTTAAGTAACAAACATCTTTCCTCACACACGAAGGACAACAGCCACTGAGAGTTCAGAAACTTAAAAGTAAAAATTCCCAATGGAATGTCCATGGAAATGTTAAAAATTTAATAACCAAGCCAAAAACCTTTCATCCTTTGGTACCACACCAAAGCACAAAGTTGCTTTTTTAAAAGCTAGTAAAATTGAATCAACCTGGTTTTCCTAATTAAGATATCCATCCAAATCCGAAGTTTTGTTTTTTATACAAATACTATTCCCTTGACTTTAAGTTCACACTTCCAATATGAATTAGACACAAACGGTAATACAAAAGGGTAAGAGCAGCAAGCTGGGTTCCTCTTCAGCAAATAAAACAGCCCAGCTCTTAATCCTGCGGGTTTGCCCAGGATAGAAGCCAATCTGTGTTATCACCGAGGAATGCCAGTTAATACATTTAAAACACTGGTCACCTGCTTGATCCCCAGCACACTTTCCCAGACCTGCAAAACTCAGGCATGACATCCTTGCTCAACTTTCCCACTGTCATCATTTCACGCAGTCCGAAGATCCGCAAAGAACACCCAGAGTTTTTCTTTTTAAAAGACACGTGTGAACCCAGAATTTACAGGCACAAACGAATTAAACTTGTCCGCTTCTTGAATGAAAATATTGATAGTCAGAGCGTGAAATTTCTGTTTCCTATGGTTTTCAAGACAAGTGGTTGGGGGGGGGGCGTCTTTTATTCTTCATATTACTAGCTTCTCACCCCAGGATTTCAAACAGAAAAGCAGACAAATCACACTTGGAGTCAAGGGCACTTACCTTACAGGTAAACACGGGCCTAGCGGTCTCTAAAATGCGGACACGTGCCTTTCCCAGAGTAGCGGCTCGCGCACCTGGCTCTGTCTGGGCCACCAGCTGCGGAGAGGGAGCCCACCTCGCGCAGCCCAGGCCTCGATCGCCAGCCTTTCCCCCGCAGACGGGATGCCTGTCGCAGCCCAGGGCGCGGGGGTGGGGGGTGGGGGGTGGGTCCCTCTCCGGCCCGGCTCCCGCCGCCTCCTCTCCACCCTGCAAGTTTCCAGCGGCGGTTCTCGCAGCCTCGGCGCGTCCAGCTGCCTAGCGGCAGGGACGCGAAGTGGGTTTCAACAGGTCTAGCAGCCAGAGACACTGCAAAGATCACAAACGACTCAACGAGGAGCTTCTCCTTCCTTTTAAAGACCCGGGAGGGGGGCGGGGGGGAGAGAAATCCAAGAGCCCACGTGACCACCCAGCCAGCTGCTGGGAAATCTCGGGAGGACGCGGACTCCCTTGCCTGGCCATCCACACCTGGACGTAGGGGGAAGCCCCAGGGCAAGGCCTGCCACCCTCGAGCCCTTCACAGTCACCCTCAGGGGGACCAAAGCACCCCTGGCGCCCTTTCCCCCCGTCTTGGGTTTAGGGGGTCTGGGGTGGGGTCTGAGAACGTGCACTTCTAACCAGGTTCGGGGTGCAGCTCAAACTGAGGCTGCCCGGCTGGGGACCGCACTTTGAGGATCACGCCCCTAGACCCTCAACCACGTGGGTCTGAGAGGGGCTGGATGTGTCGGTGTCATTAAATACAGACACCTGACTCTGAGAATCTAGTGGTGAAACTAGAGAGGCTTTGGATTTGCCCAATCCCGGGCAGCAAGCTCGGGTTCGCGCCCCTGGAGAGGCGAAGCCACGCGGGCGCGGGCG